GTTGGTTAGAGGCTTTTCATGGCAACATGGGAGGCTATATAAACAAGTGGTAGGTAGCGCGATGTAACAATAGCAACGAGGACTAGCCAACAAAGATAGTAGTGATATCGGGGGTAATGGTCATCTTGCAAAAAAATAAAGAAAAGAGGAGGGAGAGAGGTGATGATGCATGGGATAATTGTATAAGCAAACCACAACATGATGAATAACACAACAAGGTGACCACTACTAGGCATATGATAAGCATGATGGAATGCAAAATGACAAGATGCACAAATACAAGGGCAAAGGTGAGCATGGCAATGCAATGAGTAAAACAGCAGAACAAAACAAGATGAGGCTAACAAAGATAGAACCCACATGGAATTAGATCAAGATCAAGGTTGGATATGTTACAAAATGAGGAGGATTACATATGGGGTGTTACACAGGCATACTTAACACATGAAACATACTAAAGAGGAGGCACTTCCACGCGTGTAATGTCTCTAGTTGCATACTTTGCACTTCTCATTTAGAGAGCAAAGCCAAATTTCACTAGAAATTTATTTTTTGAATGCTACATGATTACAATTACAACTTGGAACATTTAGAAAGAGAAAAATAATTTTGTTTCTAGCTAGGCTAGGCCTTCAAGTAGAGCATGGCTAGAAAGGACAAAGGATGGCCTAACTTGGCTTAAGTATAGGGTCTCATCATATCTAAGTGATTATATCGCACATTTTGTTCTCTTTCTTTAAAAGTTTAGTATTCTTTTTATTGAATTGTTTGCTCTAATATTCAACTCTTCCTAGTGGAACTTCCTCCCTCCATCTTATGTGCATATAAGTGGTATATTTAATATATCAAATAGGAGTGTCTCCTACTATTTAGATTTTAGTTTTGTTAAATGTTTGTCATGTATTTGCAAAATATTGATTGTTTATTAAAAACATCCCATGAATTTGAAAAAATATTCACAACATATTAAAAAAATGCATCATGTATTGAAATAATGTGCATATTAAAAAAAGTACATTCATGTATTTAAAAAATATCAATCACATATCTAAATAAAATATTCATCTCGTATTTTGAAAACGATTCATCACATCTTTAGAAAATGTTTGTCATGTATAAAAGAAGATAATCATAGAGAGAAGGAATTTGAAAAGGAGAAAGAAAAGAAAATGATAATTGAAAACCAGCAAAAACCCAAAAGAAAATGGGAAAGAAATAGAAAACTGCTGAAAACAACGAAAAGCCCCAGAAAATCAGAAAATAAGCTAAATTATGTTGATCCGCTCATCCTTTGTCGAACCTTGCATACGTCTCCTCCCCCCTCACTCTCCTGCTTTCATTTTTTTCCTACACATCTTAGTGATTTACGAAAGAAAACTCATTTTTTTTGGTAAGCCAATGAGTGCTTACCATATTTTATAAAAAAATCATTTTTACTCAATCACATTAATATGAGCAGGTAAATCATGGACTAACCTACTAACGTCTCGCACCAAAAAATAGGTAATGTTATGTCGTCCGCTTGTCCTTTGTCCAATGTATGTATGTTCCCCTTCCCTCTCCTATTTTTTATTTTTTCCTCGCATCTGTAGTTTTCGCTATTATTTTATTTCTAAAAACCACCTCTACTTTCCCACCTCTTATTGACTTACCAAATAAAAAATTTGTTTTCTTTGATAAGCCAATAAGTCCTTATCAAATTAGTGTTTACGAACTAAAATCAGTTTTACACAGTCACATCAACATGAACAAGTAAATCAGGCCTAACATAATAAAATATGTATGTCCCCGTTGCAACGTATGGACAATTATCTAATTACTATTAAATATTTTAACACCTAGACGGGCCTTATTGGCTGTTATGTGTTGGTATACAAGGTTATTAGGGAGATAACACATGTGGGAACGTGTGTGCATAGGGTTTCCACCGATGGTTCTCTAGCCATTTTTAATGCTACATGGATAGGTGGACATAAACAACAAGGGAATGATAACATGCAAAAAGAAGAGGCCAGACGGAAGGCCGGCCCAAGGAGGAGGAGAGCGAAACGTATTGCGTTATTGTCGAATAGGAGAGATACATGGATAGAGGGGCATAAACACAAAGGGATAAGTATGGGAGAAAGGATAATGGGAGGGAAGGCCAAATGAAGGAGAAGAGTGAAACGGGAAATGGAAAGGATTACAGTCTTTTAAAATATGAGAGGTAGGAGAGGTGCCGGGCTAGACGATCCCATTTGCGTGTACATGGGTGGATTTTTTTTGTTGGGTGCAGTAACGACAACTTTCATTTTAGGCATGCATTAACAACAAGGGGTCTATCAGTTATCAAGGCACGTCAATTTGGGGTCTTCTTTGTCTAGGAAAATGACAAAACGTGGCTCGCGAGCGCTTGCGTGCAGCAGGGGCCAAAACTATTGTTACATACGACATGCTTGGCGCAAACACAATATGATGAATAGGCCCACCCATTTTCTAACGCTAGAAAAAAGGCCGACTCATGATAGTGCATGCCATCGCCACCTGGAACGGGATTCCCGATTTGCCGCTGATTGTGGCAAGTAGACTTGGCCAAACGCATAGAGGCCACAAAGTGGGCCCGCCCACTTGTCAAACGTGCGAGGGCATACTTTTTTTTGTTTTGTTTCTTTTTTCTCTTCCTTTTTTCTTCTTATTTTTTCTGTTTCCTTTTTGTTTTCCATAAATTCAAAACTTTCAAAAATGTTTAGAGTTTAAAATTTTGTTCAAGATTTATAAAATTGTTCTGGATTTCAAATTTTTGTTCACATTTTTTTAGTTTTTTTCAGAATTTCATTTTTTTCAAAATTTTCAATCCATTTTCAAAAATTCAAAAAGATATGAAAGATTTTTTAAAACTCATGTTCTCTAATATGGTTTCCATTTTTTTTAAAAAAAATCATGTTTCAAAACATGTTTGAGTTTATAAAAATTGTTCATTGTTTTTAAAAAATTGTTTATGTTTTCAGAGAAAGAATTCCGAATTTTTTAAAGTACTCGCACTAGAGAAAACAAAAATGTTTTGCAATTCTTGACGGGCCATTTATGCGTCACTAGAGTGTGAGGCGCAAGGACACTCCTTTTCTTGGTATTTCGGTGCCACGTGTTCAAAAAACTCGCTTTGTGTCGCACCCGGTGGGTTGGCCCACTCAACTGGACCCTGTGAGCCACCTGGAACAAGGGGAGCTCCTAGTTGGCACTCTAAGCGCCACTTTCCTGAACCAGCGCTCGCTACTCGCAAGCAGCGCTTCGTGCACCAGCTCCCGTGGGACGGCCCAGGAAAGGAGGCGATCGATGGTTCGGGGAGGAGGTCGTTACTCGTTTGGTGCCATAGTTGACCCGGCCGTTGACCGGTTGACTTCTTGACTAAATCGTTTTTTCAAATACAAATTAAAAAAAAGATCACCAAATTCAAAGAAAGTTCACAAATTTGAAAAAAGTTCATCCCTTTAAAAACGTTTATCATTTTTGAAGAAAAGTTCATCATATTTGAAAAATATTCATGGATTTTGAAAAAAAGTTCATCAAATTTAAATAAAGTTCATCGTATTTTCTGAAAAAGCATTTTGAAAAAAGTCATCAATTTAAAAAAAGTTCATTGAAATCGAAAAAGTTCATCGATTTAAAAAAAACTTCCTCAATTTTTTGAAAAAAAACATCAATATGAAAAAAATCATCGGATTTCAAAAAACACTTATTTGATTTGATGAAAAAGTTCACATATTTGCAAACAATTCATCGAACCAGGAAGAAAAAAACAGAAAATAAAAAGGGAAAAAGGAAAAAGAGAAATAATAAGGGAAGGAAAAAGTTGATAGTCACTAGGTCCCGCTGGGTGGTGGGGTGGTTGCACCAGCCTACCTCGATGAGGGAGGTCGCTGGTTCGACAAACAAAATGTGTGTTTTTTTTTGCGGATTATAAACATGCTAGATGGGCTGGCCAGCGCGGTGGCGTTTCAAGCGCCCGTTTGTAAAATACACAGTAACAGGTGTCTGAAACGTCAAATAGGAAGCGTCGTCAAAAGTGAAGACAGAAGCACCATCACAAGGATACTCTTTTTCTTGGTATATTTGTGTCACAAGTTTAAAAAAAACTCGCTTCGCGTTGCACCTGGTGGGTCGGCCCAGTCCCCTGGACCCTGTGCGCCGCTTGGAACAAGGGATCAAAAGTGAAGACAAATATGTCGTTATTGCATTAGGTTAGAGAGTTTTTTGTCCTTGCAGATCCGATTATTCGAATCTAATGAGTTTATATTGTCGTGTCAAGCTTTTTTTATTGGTGTGATTCTCTGTGAAAGTGAAATCTTCCATCGACACTATGGTGAAGATATAGTGATTCAACGGCCTGCACTTTTAGGGGATCATCCCCGGCCCAAGTACGTTCATCGATCAAGGCTTCCCATCTTTTTGGATGGGCGACACAAGTCACTTTCAAAAAACATTATTGGCAATGTTCGTGCGGGTGAAAGAGTGACAACACCGTTGCTACAGTTCAATTGCAGACTCTTTACCGAAGTCTTTGGAATATTTCTTGAGCAGAGATTGATACCGCGAAGAAGGGTGTTTTCAACATATTTCACTATAATTCTTAGTCATAGGAGTTACTTTGTATTTTTTGGATTTTAGGTCCAAATCAATGTACCTGTAATTGATATGCATATGAATAAAGTTATAGTGTTTCTAAAAAAAAGTGAAGACAAACATGACATTTTTCTTTTAAGAAGAGAACGCGCGACCCTATATATAGAAGACCAAATGAGCAAATGAAACTGGATTTTTCTTTTGTCCATGGCGGATAGGCCACATGCCCCCATGGTCCATGAGGACGCCTCCAAACCCCACACGACCCCACTACGCCTTTTCCATGTTGTTTCCTCCTTCATCATCATCAATTTACACAAAGACTTATCGATCGTGCGTCCTACATTACCACTAGCAACTCTACCTCGACCTTTTCTCTTAAGCCCTAACATAACAAAACCCTAAAACGCTGCTGAGGGGCGGCGAGGGTGGAACGGCGAGGCGGGCGGGCGGGTGATCCGCGGGCCGGTGGCAGCGGTGACGCGCTCGCAGCGGGGGCACATGGTGAGCGCGGACGCCGGGAGTGGCTGGCGTGTGTGCGGCGAGAGCACCGTGGGCGGCGCCATGCGCATCGCCCTCAGCTCCTCCACCTCCCGCTGCAGGCGGCGGTTCTCCTCCGTCAACGAGCCGAAGCAGCGTTTCAGGTACTCGCACTCCATCTCCGTGTGCTTCAGCTTAGTCCTGTACACGTACATAGTTCAACTCATTCAGATTATAGCAACTCAACCAGTACCACTAGCTAAAGAAAAGGATCCAGGAATAGTAAGTAAATAACACAAGTTGCTCGATCCCATAATGGAACATTGAACCTCGATCGGAACCTACACTTCAAGTTAACGGTGCACATATAATTGTAACTTGACAACATGGTCAGTTGTATACAAGATGACAGAGTAGACGGAACAGAACGCAACCAGATGCATAGCATCTCACCGTGTGAGCTTAAACTAGCATGAGCTAGAGCACTATACGCAACTTAATTTGACCATAGGCCCCCATTCCAAGAGCATTGTCATCTCGTCCTAGCGTGAAGGAAGGCCAATGACTTTGCCAGGATAAGATGGACCGTACCGGCCATGGCCTTCGACTTGCTCCACTTTCGACTTCACGAGACTCGCTGAGCCAGGGTCAAGTTGTAGCCATTTCCAGGCTTGCACGTGCTGATTAGTCCACGTGCTGATGCCAGCGATTAGCTCAGTTGTTTAATCTAGAGAATCCTAATCTAGTAGTACGTGTATCATGGAGTAATAATTATAAAAGGTGGTGAAGCCGCCTTACTCTATCAAGCTAGAGAATCTACCTAGTTGATGTTGTCCCGCATCTCAGATGCAGTACAAGTTTCAAGGTAGATAGCCAGTGATCTATGCCACCTTAATTGAGGGAAGGGTCCATAATTATGTTGGGACGAGAATAGGCTATCATTACTAGGTACATACTGGAGTAGTGCAAGACAAGCATATTATCACTAGTCTGATTGGCGTTATCACTACATTACGATAGAAACTAAGGGCCTGTTTGGTTTTAAATAAGTCACCAACTTATAAGTCAAAAAGTAAAAAGAAATGACTTATTTTGCCAAACAGACCCGAATTATAAGTTACCCCAACTTATAAGTCATAAGTTGTTCCACCCCAACTTAAAACTTATAAGTCACCCCCTTTTACATGGGTCCCACCACCTGCATGATGTTGATTGATGTGAGAAGGTGTGTCAGGTGACTTATAAGTCAGGTGACTTATTGAAACCAAACAGGCCCTAATCCTCTATGCAAGTTTCTTTGGATTGAACAACGGCGGGTCAGAAACAACTCAGTTTAATCTCGACGCGAGTTGAAAGTAGCATGCACAGCCAAGCTAGTCTGCAAGTTAAGCAGCGCGTGCGTACCATGGACGTGTAGGATTTGCTCAATGAAATTGCAACGTTACGCCAGTAGCTTCAAACGTCAATTACTGGCCTGATGTTCCATAGCGATAAACACCTTATTATCTACTGATAGTATTGACCAGACAAGCATTGCCTTGAGTTAATTACTTGACCTTTCAACGGAGAATGAGTAACATAAGGAACAAGCAGGTCCTCCAAGTTTGTCCCATTTGCCTCGGTTTCATCATTAACTAACGAACCAAATTGTACGTCACCGTCTTCCCCTACTTGAATGCATTGGCAGTACGCCCTGCCCGTTTCCTAAAAAAAGTTACTACTACTAAATTAAGCCAACCAACTTGATTATCTTAATACTGACCGCCGAACGGACTGGTACGATTTTGTAGGGTAGACCAGTGGTAGTCCCTTAACGGTGAAGTTCCAAGTGCACGTGAGGCTTGGCCATGTCAATGTGTGCTCGTGAACATGTATAAAGAGGTACACTGTGTATGTAAACAGGAACAAGTTAAAGGGGATTCCTTCCTATTTTTACCTTGCCCTGCGGTTCTGAAACCAGACCTCCACCTGCCTGGGCCGTAGCTTCAGTTTGATCGCCAAGGCCTCCTTTTGCTTCTGCATGCAAGAATTCCATTTCCAAGGCGTTAAATAAATAATAAATCGCTGCACGCCCATGACGGTTCACGCAGGCCTTCACCGTCCATAGTTGCAAAAGAGGCGTGAATAAATATGGAGTAGCACCGATCCCGCCAGTCAAACAAAACCTATTACGTACTACTACTGCTGTATGTGGAGGAGTAACTGCGTTACCCTGGGAGGCAGCTGTGACTAGATAGGTTCATTACTCGCCGCAGCCGCACTGTACCACGACGACATGAATACCACCCCACTGCATAAGACCAACGTTGTGCTCTACAGTCTCTGCTAGACTTTTATGCACCATGTACCGCGCCAAACAATCAGAGGTGCACCCCCACTCTTTATTTGCCTACTACTCCTACTGCTACTGCAAGTAGTGCACCGTTTCGGTAATGTACCACTACCGAGCAGTACCGACTTCTAATGCCACTAATAACGAGTAATGTGCCGGAGAGTACCCCTTGTCTCGATTTCCCATGAATGGGACACATATATAATCAAAGATCGAGCAGTGCTACTTAATGGATCAGTGGTTGTCCGACCCCGTCGCAGGGTTTACATCGTGCTCTTCAATGTCCATCAGAGTAGCGCCACGGAAACGAATCCAGTTCAAGATTCATCCGTACGACCAACGGATCAACTTTGCAGTAATGCTCTCGTCCGTGGACGAGATTTCTGGTGGACGTACGTATGGTATACTACTACTACTATTATTACGTAAGTGCGTGTACTACATGCCGGCCGATCTTAACCAAGCTATTAGTGTACAGGAAACTGAAGGAATCGACAAGCATTGGGTGGAAGACGTGTGTTGCTGACCGGTGAGAGGGTGTGGTTGAGGCGGAAGCTCTCCTCGAGGAGGCGGGACTGCTCCTTGGAGAGGCGGAGCTTCTTTGGGCGGTGCGGTCCGCCGGCGCCCCGCTCCTCCTCGTCCTCTTCCACGCCGCCCATCAGGAAGTCCTCCTCTTCGCCGCCGCTCGCCGGCTGGTTCATGTCCAGGCCCCTCATGTTCCCGCCACCATTGTTGCTGATATTATTGTTGCAAACAAACCCCTCTGCCAAGGACAGCACGTTCGAGTTAGTTCTCGTCGATGTTACACCCTCAATTAGCCAGCTGGTTACTTGAACAAACTCAAACATTTAACATGCAACTGTGCGGTGCATTTCTTCCCGAAGCACCCAAAAAGGTTTGTGCATGCGCGAAGAAATGCGATGTTCACTAGCAAGATTTGAAGCCATGAACGGAGAACACGATCCAACTTCTATGGCGGAAGCTATACTTGCAGTTGTAGGAGGGAGACGGAGAAGGAAAACAGCTGGTAGGTGGTCAGTGGTCTCCCGAGCTTACCTGAGCCAGAGGAGGAGCTGAGGCCGGGGACAGCCATGGTGAGCTCCAGGCCTGAAGGAGAAGTGGCCCCCATCACAGGCGACAAGCCAATGCGGAAACAAGAGCAAGGAAAGGGTGATGAGGATGAGGAGAGGAGGAGGCCAAGGCCAAGACAAAGACAGATTGAAAAGGAGTAGAAGCCTGGGGAGGCTTTATATAAAGGGGGCCGGGTAGTAGAGCGATACCACCACTACTCGTACTACGTTGGAACTTTTAACAGTGGCAGTACTACGATTGGATGGAGAAAAAAACATATGAAATGAGACCACTCTATTATGAGCGAGCAACACTGGTAGCAGGGTGTGATGTACTTTGTCTGGCAAGATATTATTAGGTTCACACTGTTGGAGACATCATGAGGTTTTCTGCTTTGACCGGGATTAGGCATTTCCAACGTGAACGATCAAAACACCCGCAAATGTCCGAACCAATCCGTTCGGATGCTTGTAGTCATCTAAGGTGGATCAGCTAATCGGTCCGAACTGGTCTATATGTTGAAACCCCGCCCCGCAGCCCGGACCTAAATCGAGGAGAGCTCTATAGGAGTTCAGATGCCCGCCATGTCGGACTCCGACACCCATATGCCCCCCCCCCAAACTCTATTCAGAGCCCACGTATTTTCACAATCCTGCCCTCCTCCGCCGCACTCTATCTACCGCTCCAAGACCGTCGTAGCCCCTAGGACGCCACGCAGGCCTTGTCGAACCACGATAGACGCCGCCCAAGCCTTGCCGGACACCGACGCCGTACTCTCTTGGATCTGGTCGTCACTCAGATACCCTCCCCCCGTGCGGATGTTGTCCATGGAGGACAAACACCCGGAAAGTGTCCAGAAAAAATCCATGGTGCAAAAAATGTATGTTCTAGTTACTCACTTTGAATCAAGCATGATGGATTCAGACGAATACTTCTACATCGAGTTTATTCGTTTTAGAAGATGAGGATGGAACGGTGATGATGATGGCGATTCTTGAAGAAACTTAGCATGCTGAGGACTATGCTCTTAACTACAAAGGTTCACAAAAGGGACACCGAGTGTTAAACTGGAACAGTGCATGGTGGCATATGGCTCGGTACTATGGCTACTTTACCCTCGATGCGTTATTCAAAATCTATTTTCGACGTTGATTCCAAATGGAGCAACCCTTGTTCATGCGCCTCTACGCATGTGTCAGGGCATATGATGATTATTTCAAGCCGGAGAAGCATGTCTTTGGCCGCGTCGGGTTCTCGGGTCTCGACAAGTGGACAACTACTATGGCGATGCTTGCCTATGGCATGGCCACGTAATCCTGGGACGAGTACCTCCGGACGTCTGAAAGCACATGCCTCGACGCCATGGTCAGATATGTAGTTGTAGTAGTCAAGGTGTGCACTTAAAATTGAATAATTGCTCATATGCTCAACAAAATCAATACATGGGTCATCATAAAAAGCCCGCCAAAATTCATGAAGCAGCTGCATCACAAGACTTACGGAATTGGCACTCTTTCTTTGACATGTCAAGGTCTCACAATGACATTGACGTGTTGCAGCGGTCTTCGTTGTTTGCAAGGTTGTGTGCGGACAAAGCTTGCTCGTGCAACTATACCATCAATGTGCATGGGTACAAAATGAGGTACTATCTTTGTGATGGTATCTACCCTCCATGGGCGACCTTTGTCAAGACCATCTCCAAGCCAAGAGGTAACAAAAATGTCACTTTGCTGCAAACAAGATGATGTAGGGCAGAACCCTAGATGCCCGATCTTTCACGATTGGAGGGTGAAAGATCGTGGATGTCACCTAGAGGGGGGGTGTGAATAGGCGCTTTAAAATAATTATGGTTTAGGCTTGAACAAATGCGGAATAAACCTAACGATTAATTTGTCAAGCACAAAGCCTACAACAACTAGGCTCACCTATGTGCACCAACAACTTATGCTAAGCAAGATAAACAACTAAGTGATAGCAAGATATATGACAAGAAACAATAAGGCTATCACAAAGTAAAGTGCATAAGTAAAGGGCTCGGGTAAGACATAACCGAGGCACGCGGAGACGACGATGTATCCTGAAGTTCACACCCTTGCGGATGCTAATCTCCGTTTGGAGCGGTGTGGAGGCACAATGCTCCCCAAGAAGCCACTAGGGCCACCGTAATCTCCTCACGCCCTCGTACAATGCAAGATGCCGTGATTCCACTAAGGGACCCTTGAGGACGGTCACCGAACCCGTACAAATGGCGACCCTTGGGGGCGGTCACCGAACCCGTACACTTTGGCGACCCTTGGGGGCGGTCACCGAACCCGTACACTTTGGCAACCCTTGGGGGCGGTCACCGGTACCTGTAAAATTGCTCGGGGCGATCTCCACAACCTAATTAGAGACCCCGACGCTTGCCCGGAGCTTTACACCATAATGATTGAGCTCCAAACAACACCAACCGTCTAGGGCGCCAAGGCACCCAAGAGGAACAAGCTCTAGGGTGTCCAAACACCCAAGAGTAACAAGCTCAAGGTTACCAAGCACCCAAGAGTAATAAGCTTCTCAACTTGTAACTTCCACGTATCACATGGAGAACTCAAACCGATGCACCAAATGCAATGGCAAGGGCACACGGAGTGCCCAAGTCCTTCTCTCCCAAATCCCACCGAAGCAACTAATGCTAGGGAGGAAAATGAGAGGAAGAACAAGAAGGAGAACACCAAGAACTCCAAGATCTAGATCCAAGGGGTTCCCCTCACATAGAGGAGAAAGTGATTGGTGGAAATGTGGATCTAGATCTCCTCTCTCTTTTCCCCCCAAAACTAGCAAGAATCCATGGAGGGATTGAGAGATATCAAGCTCGAAGAAGGTCAACAATGGGGGAAGAACACGAGCTCAAGAGATAAGGTTCATTGGGGAAGAAGACCCCCTTTTATAGGAGGGGAAAAATCCAACCGTTATGTGCTCAGCCCGCACACGAGCGGTACTACCTCTCCACGAGCGATAATACCGCTCGGGCGGTAGAAGCAGGAAAAAAGAGCAATAAAACATGAACCTTGGGGCGGTAGTACCGCTTATAAGCGGTACTACCGCTCACCCCAGCGGTACTACCGCTGGAGGAGCAGAACACGGGACCAAATGAGGCAGGGTAGAGCAGAGAACAGTGGCAGTAATGCAGTAGCGGTACTACCGCCCGACTGGAGCGGTACTACCGCTTATAGGCGGTACTACCGCCCAAACGGGGCGGTACTACCGCTTATAGGCGGAACTGCCGTGCCTTACTACCGTGCAACTACTGCTAAACCCGACACGAAAAGAGCAGACCCAAAATCGAGGCGGTAGTAGAGCAGTACTGGAGCGGTATTACCGCTTGACACTACAAGTGGTACTACCGCTGCCACCGTGGTACTACCGCAGGGAGCAAAACAAAACTGCCATAACTTCTTCATATGAGCTCCGAATTGAGCAAACTCAAGCTTGTTTGAAACAAGACAACGAGTAGCATCAAAACAGTAAGAAGAGGCAGGGGAGGTATGCCTAACAAAAAGAGGAGAGAAACCTCCAACAGAGAAGAAACGACAGAACCTCCAACATCGAAAACATCATAGAAGATGCATGTGAACTCCGTTTTCGATGAACTCGAGCTTGTCAAGAAAATGACCATAAGCTCCAAATCTCACAAGGAGAATAACCAAACAAGAACCAAGAAACATGATGCAAGGATGCAATGGTTTGAGCTCTCTACGAATGATACGATCAAGTTACTCATCGAGAGCCCCCCTTGATAGTACGGCAATCGAACCTAAAACCCGGTCTCCCAACTACCATCATGAGACCGGTAAAAAGGAAAACCTATCAAGGGCAAACCTTTGCCTTGAACATGGTCCACTTGAGCTAGATGATCACGATCTTGACTCCCTCAAGTTGGACCACCTTTCTTGATTGCGTTGGCTCGATGAAGACTAGTTGATTGCTCCCCCATACTCCACTATGGGTGAGCCACTCTTTCGCACATCTTCACAAGTCCATTGTCACCACAATGGACGGCAAGCTTCAAGCATTTGATCTCTTCAGGATGCTTCACTTGAACTTGCACACCACAACCTAACCCCACAAAGAACTCTCACGAAGATCATGTGCTAGTACACAAAGCGTAATTGACAATGCTTACCATACCATGGGATCGCTTGATCCCTCTCGGTACATCTTCTATGCTTTGTGTGTTGATCAACTTGATTCACTTTTTGACTTAGTCTTGATCAACCTCTCACATGACCAATCTTTAGGTAATTGCTTGAATGGCACCTTGGTCATCACAAACTCTCATTGAAACCAACAAATGGACTCCAAGAAAAGCCTATGGACAAATCCTTCAAATAAAACTCAAGGCAACCATTAGTCCATAGAGATTGTCATCAATTACCAAAACCAAACATGGGGGCACCGCATGTTCTTTCAGAGGGGATCCTACCAAGAACACGAAGAACATGAGGAGAGAAATCACTCAAACCAACAAGATTCGATTACACATATGCTAGATCCTCGAAACACAAAGAGACACACGATCTGAATCCAACAAAGGACGATACAAGTGGCAACTAGTTCATATCCATGAGGAGGTCTTGAGGGGTCTTCCCATGAAGGGGTTTTGAAC